TACAAAAAAATAAAGGCAGGGTAAAAATATCCAGGATATTTTTTAGGAAATATCCAAAGATAATAGTGCATTGTCTAGCTGAAAATTATTTATAGGAAATGCTACATCCTTTCTTTCTGGGAAAATATGCAAATTATACGGAGTCACGCCCAAAAGGTAACAGGAGATATGATATTTAAATAAGGTAAAGGTTTCCCTTGCACATATGTGCTAGTCGTTCCAGACTCTAGGGGGCAGTGCTCATCTCCGTTTCAAAGCCGAAGAGCCAGCGCTGTCCGAAGACATCTCCGTGGTCATGTGGCCAGCATGACTAAACGCCGAAGGCACAGAGAACGCTGTTACCTTCTCACCAAAGGTGATTCCTATTTTTTTCTACTTGCATTTTTTATATGCTTTCGAACTGCTAGGTTGGCAGAAGCTGGGACAAGTAACAGGAGCTCACTCCGTTACGCGGCACTAGGGATTTTTATTATTATTAGTTTATTAGTTTAAATAAAGAGTGGAGGGTATAAAATGATTACAAAGAATGTGTCAATATTTTTTAATCACATTCCAATAATAACCCTTTCTACCAATCTTACAAAGAAAAAGTTGGATTAAATGCTTCATGGTTACTCAAAAACAGAATTCACTGAAGTCAGTGCTGCTTGCTCCGAAGTAAGTAAACGCAGCACTGCTGCCAAAATAACTGCGAATTTCAAAGAATCAACTCATTCTAATTTTAATATTACCCTTTGCTTAATAAAACCAAACAAGAAGATTTCTTGGATTGGCATTTCAGCCATTTTTTTCTTCTGTTTTGGAAGCACATTTTAATTACAACCGAGAGAGCAATAACAACTCTTTTTATAGCTTTGAAGCAAAACTGAAATGATTTTACTCCATTTAATTTAAATATAGGCAAATACAATGACACCTCATCACGGCATCGGTGTTTTTCCAAGAAAGCCAAATCAACAACTCTCCACATGGTAACTGTGAAATGTACAATGCCTGTTATTGGGAACAATTTTCTAAAGTTGGCACATAAATCTGAACCTTATTTTCAAGGTTCCAATATAGTGTTCTGTGTAGATCTCATTCCTGTTTTATTTTGTTATCAGAAAGCATCTGCAGTGCTGCCTGCCTGTTAAAACCAGAATAGAACAAATACATCTAAAATCAGTAATGCTGTTCTTTCCTGCCAGACGATTTGTTTTCATGGTCTTCTGCTTCTTTCACGAATTTTTCTGATAGTTCTGGCATTCAGACACATTACTCAGAACACCACAATACAGTGGCAGAAATAGTCTATATTTTTCTCCTATAGGTTCCCCATTCTCTCCAATAAGATAGAAGCAATGCAGGGCTTAATTTGAATGTAAGAAGAATTTACACTAAGTTAGATTATGTACATATCAATAAACCAATGGTCTCCATTAGTTAGCTAGCAACAAGGTCATTTCCCTCCTAGCTTTGCTATAAAATAGATTGGCCAATGATGAAGAAAATGATGGTCACCATTTCTTCCTTCTTTGCAATTATTTCTTTTGAAAGATCACATTGAAATTTCTCTTTAAACTGCTCATTCTGGCAAATGTAGCCAAACCCCAGTTCCTGTGAAGAACTCGGAGTCCCACTATGTGCAAATTCTCTTTTCTGATCCAGCCAGAAAAAATCTCAAAAGCACTCTACTGAAATATGCACAAGAAGGTTATAGAAAAGAACCCTCAGCTCCAAAAAGAGCAGAGTGGGTGAGTGGGTGATCTGTCATAACATGTTTGGAACAAATCAATTAAAGGGAAGCAATTTCCCATTTTTTTTCTCCAAAGGAAAAAGTAACACATCTCCAGTCTTTAAAACCATATTGCCCCCAGGGATATCTCTAGAACAATTAAGTAATGATAACTGCCACCATACAAGCAACACCATGGAACCTCCCATACAAAGGCAACATGAAAATTAAAGCATCATTTGAAAAAAAAAACATTGAGAGAGATAAAGCGCATACATCCATGTTTTAAAACCAGATGGGGGAGAATCAAAGACGTTGCTCTAAAAAGTTAGAGCAAGAACACAGAGTGATTCATGAGTGCATGACAGACTATAAGGCAGTTGACAAGTAAGCATCTTGCTTGAGGAATAAAAAGATTAACCTGTCATAAAATACGAAAAACCCTTCCTATCCAAAAGGATCAGTGTGTTTATGCTCAACTAAGTCAGTAATCACCCATTTGGAAATGGTTTCCTTAGAGACAGTAGAACTTGCTGACTTTGAGCCAGAAGAAAAAGAAGGGATGATAAGATTTCTTATGACTTGGCTTGCTCCTAGAAAAATGTTGGGTCATAAAATTTACAGAGCTAGCCTTTACTGGCATGGGTGAACAAGTGTGAAAGCGATATAATGAGCCCATCATACTTTCTCTGAAAAACCTGTAGAAGCACTTAACTATTGCTTTATATTTGAAGAGTGGGGGTAGAAATATAGGATGATTTGTCTCAGTACTGTAGAGTAAAATATGATGGCAGTAAGTTTGCTAAGAGCTGCACATTATAATAATTACCAATATGCAAAAAAAGGATTTTTAAAAGAAGTTAAGAATGGCATCATACTTCCACTTAGCCGATTTATTCTAGATTCCTAGAAATAAAAACATAGCATTCCAGAACCTGAACATTTGCAGTTCTGTTTCTAATGAATTCTGCTTCTTTTTCAGGAATAGGATTAGCCCTAATGACACAGTGATGAGAATGCAGTACTGCAGGCAAACTCTCCCCACTGCCTGGAATTCGATTCTGATCAGCTACAGGTTGACTCAGCCTTCCATTCTTGGTTAAATGAGAACCCAGATTGTTAGGGGCAATATGCTGATATTGTAAGCTGCCCATAGAGTCATGTAAAGCTATATGGGGTAATATTTAAGTCTAATTGCTATTTTTATTGCTATTATTCATTCTGAGGATAGTTTGGTAGTTTTTCGGAAGTTAATTTTCCAAAGGGAAACTTATTGTACTATACTAAACATATACAGGTATATATAGATATATATTTCAGGGCAGGAACATTAAGTTTTATATATACCTGCCTTAGGCTTTTTGATTGCTTTAATAATTATTTTAAAAAATATTAACGCTTGTATAAAACAAAAAACTTTAAAGTTCTCAATATATTGTGGTAGGTAATATTTAATGGCTGGGGTCAAATGTAATAGTTTTGTGGGACTGCAAATCACAAAATGGATAGAGCTCCATTGTATTTATAGGTTTGGTTATGGAGGGAATTTGGAACTTAAAAAAATATGTATACATTCATGATCAATATAATGTCATAGCCATGCTATTATTCTTTTAATATGTCAAATTAACAAACATTAACTAGAGTTAACTTATGCCTCCCAAGTAGTTGGTTTTATTCTCCATAGTGGGAAACAAATAGATAGATGTATCAATAGCAATAGATGTATCAAATTGGCTTAATTCCTATCCCATTAATACCACAAATACACTTCTTTGCTTTCTTGTGTGTAAATGAATGAACTTCTCCTTACTGCAAAAGAAAAAAGTTCCCTTCTTTTTTATAAAGAAAAATGTGAAACACTTAATTTTGGTATATAATTACGACTATTGTAAAATCAACCTCTGCACTTGGCTTAAGAGAAATAATGACTCTGGGTGGGTCACAACAATCAAATAAATTACAATCAAAGAAATAACACATAAAAAAATTAGGAAACACATATTAAATTTCTGTGGATTTTCTTGGCATGGGAATTGGTTAATAGAATTATTATGCAATACTGGAAGGATATATCTGCATCTGATATGCAGCAAATAATATGTACTATTTATCATTTGAATTAGCCTTTTTTTGACAAATAACTCTCCCCCAACCTTGTTAATTGGTATGTTTAAATTATATGTCTCTTTTAATATTATTGTATGCATTTGTATTTTTCTTCTGTTGACTGGCTTGGCACAATAAAATAAATTAAAGATAAGAAATCCAGATGGAATTAGGTGCAAGGAGCAACAAGGACAAAAGGGCTTCGTCTCAGAAAAGCAAGAGGTTGTTGCATAGTTGAGGAGTGAAACTACATTAAAAAAAATCACTTGTAAGAGTAGAGAGAGGAGGCAGGGTCAAAACCAGAGGCAGCATTGCAGATAAACATGAATGTATGTGGGATCTAAAAGCAAACTGGGAAAAAAAGTGTAAACAATGGGGGATATGTTGTTGGAATAACAGGGACACTTGTTTAAGCTGAATGTTAAATACATGAATTTGGAAGCTAATGAAAGAAGAGAGAGAAAGTTGTTGCTTTAATTAAGGTGCCAACAATGCAGATATTAAATTTAACCGATAGCAATAATAATGCAACAAAGACTTAATTGACATCTTGATTTTTTTTTAAAAAAAAAAATGATGGCAATTCACTAAGAACAGCCAGCACATTGTTTTAGGAACAATACTTTTAGCAGTATGTCAGGTTCTGGTCAATACAAATATACAGCTGAAAGCAGAGGGAAATACTTTATTGCCTCGTTCAATCACTTTACTGGGCAATTTAAGAGATCATTTGTGAAATAGACTTTTTAATGAGCAATTTTTGTGGGATTTGTCTATGATTCAATGAACACATTAAGAAAAGGGCTACTGTTATGATTACCTAGAGCAGCTAAGATGATAGTTCTGGGTTCAGACCAGCATATTCCTTAAACAAGAAAATTAAGGATAACTATCAAAATAATTGGAGAAAGCTTTTCAAGAACAGCCACTATTGCATGTGATGAACCAGAATTCTGATTCAGAGAAAGCCGATTCTCATGGCCCTAGAACCTCTAGTCTTTTTATTTTGATTAGAAATGTATATGCTTAACAAGTTGCAAGATTATGCACCTCCATTTTTGGCTGGATGCAATTAAAAGTGTTAGTCACTATTTCAGAATTCATTGGAAAGCGATATAGTTAATGTTACGTGGCTATTTTGCAGTAAAGTTACCGCTTCCAAGCCACAGAAACTTACTTTTAAAAGGGATACATTTCTTTTATGAGCTGCATCAGCTTCTTGCGTGTGCCATGCCTGCTCAGCGTCTTTGTCTCTTAGATGACTCTCCATCTGCTGAAGCAACACCAATCTCCGAGAGACTCTACAAAAGGGAAACATTATGATAAGTGGGCAGGCATTCCCCCCCCCACACACACACGACAACCAGAAAAACAACAACCTTTTACCCTCACCCAATTTTTCTCTAATTATGTTGAATACAGCGTGGGAGAACAAAAAAAGAAGGGGAAAGCACATAAAGTCCCTTTTGTGCTGTGCTCCCAGGGAGAAAGTAACCATCATGTTGTACAACAAGCAGTCTCTGTGCATAAATGAGACAATCGGCACAGAACACCTCAAACAAGATGGGCCCACAAGGCACAGTTAGCCATCTAGAGCACTAGTTATGAGTTCACTGCATTCTGTTAATTCTGCAAATTTAAGAGATCCTGTGTTCAGAAGAAAAAACTGTCATGTTTCTCATCCTGGTTGTACATTCCTCTGCCCAATTTCAAAAGAGTCCTGTTTTCCTCCCAATCCAGGTTCCCTGAAAATAGTTTCTTCCCTTCAGACAAGACCTTTCCAAACCTTTCCTAAGGAAATGAGGCTCCATTTTATTCTCTGCGTAGATTTGAAAAAGGCTTTTGAGAAAAGGTATTCAGTAATTTCAAGAAAACTCCCCTGGGAGAAAGCAATACAGTGCAGTTTGTATAGAAATGGAATTCTGTACATACACTATATAGACAAATGAAAATTGTAAACAGAGGGTGTAAAATGTGGGCCGGGCAGTCTTTTAATCTTATAGGAGGACAGCATTTCTTCACAAGGGAGTTAGAAGAATAGCCTCAGAGAGATAAAGAAAACTACAGTAGCATCAAATATACAAGAGAAACAAGGCCCTTATTACTTTTAATAGACTAATGCCAAAGTCAAGGAAAACAAGACTTCCATCAATTTTTTGCTTTGTTGGGTCAGTTCTCTATGCAATGGATATTGGGATATGTTAAACCAATAATAAAGGGGAGAAACTGTTTTCTGCTTATTTTGGCAAAGGTATTATGAACTTGGACTCAATATGTGTATAGTTTTGTACACAAGCTGTTTTTCCATTTTCTTTATTAATTGCTGTGTGGCAAATGATTACAATCTTAGGGAGAAATCTTTGCTTCTGCCCGTTGTATCATCTCCATAAAAATGGTGAAGTCTCAGATTGCACCTAGAGAGTAATGCATGCAGTAAATGCTCTATATCTACATCTATTGCACTATATTCCCTCCACAAAACATATCCATTCAACTGAAGTTAAAGAAACAGTAGCTGTTATTTTCTGTATTATTTCAGTAGATTTATATTACATCATTATTTCATTTTTAAACCTTCACCAATTTAGATGACTGTGTTGCACTAGCTCTATTGCCTCCTTTTTGAGAAGGAAAAATCCTGATTTTGTCATTAAGCTTACTACAGTTTTGGCACTTTTCAAAAGCTTTTTCCCTAAGAATGAATAACTTGTATTTTCAACCACAGAATCAATTGGAGATGGAATATTTGCCCTTAGAAATCTATTCTAATAGTCACGTACAGTCCAATAGTAATATTGTTTATACTATATTTTCATATATACATATATATACACATACATACATACATACATACATATGTAATTAGTGTCACAACCCCTGGTATGCCCAAATAATCTCTGCACCTGTTATCTAACCATAGATTAAAATGATTAGAGTGAGAAATGTATAGAGTGTTATGGTACAACTATGAAAATAATAGTTATAACTGACATACAATAGTATGTATTTAAAAGAGACTTACACTGTATGATTAGGAGAACAATGGTATAATACAATGGTATAATACTATGTATACTTAAAAAGGACTTGATACAGTCAGTACACTGTTTTTGCTGGAAAACTGGAAATGTGATGTACAATAAAGGAAAAGGTATAATACAAATATTTAAAAAAGAGAAAGAAATCTATTCTAATTACTTCCATATATTTAATATTTTTTCCTCTACCAGAATGAAAGGAGTAAACAAGAGGAACTCCAGGTAGACCTAGTACCACAGATTTTACATTAGGATATAAATAGGGACAGTCTATTTAATCTCCTCACAAATGAACTGGAATCAGCTCTGAGTAGTGAGGAATCACATCTGTGGATGAGATCAAATTGTTAAATACAGAGATGACAAAAAAGATCTCCTCAATCTGAGAGAATGGAACAAAATGGCAAATTGAGGTTCATCCTAGGATATGAAAATGTGTGTACTGGTGCTAGAAATTTAACCTATATGCAATATATAGTGGTTAAGGTAGGATATTCATTCACAACAACTGATCAGAAAGAGGTTTTGGTTTTATGGTGATGGTTCAGTGACGCATTTGCTGCTGTGCAATCCCTGTTAAAACGTAAATGTCAAGGTAGGGTTCATAGGGTGTGAAAGTAAAGTTGCCAATAACATATTTATTTGTATATACACCTGTACAGATAGTATGCTATGGTATCAGCCACTGAGAAACAATTATAGGGTGCAACTATTTTCTTTAAATCCAGTCAGTCGGTTTCCTACAGATTGTAAATTATGGAAGCAAGAAACTAGAATAGGCACACTTTGTGCTACAGATCAAAATTCTGCTATTGACTTTTGAACAAGAATATTGAGACCTTTAAAGCAAAGATAGGATATTGCAGTTACTCTAAATGTTCACTTTTTAAAAGGTGTTTTAGTAATCTGGTTAGAATCTGAAGTGCTAGTTGCAACACAGAGAGAAATGCAATGAAATGAGACATTATACTGAATTTAGAAAAGCCATATTAAATCATTAAGCCGTAGCTGGAATTCAATCAGAAACTTCAAGGTTGAAAAAGAGGACTTCATATTATGTTTTATTTGAAAAGCAGCACTGGTGGACAGCTCCCCCTAGAGGCAAAATAGTTTTTTTTCTGTTATTAAAATTTGTTATTTCTGTAGAATCTGTTTTTCTTGTATTTAGAACAATCACACGGTTGTTCTCAGTTTGATAAATCAGTTCAAAGATTTGGGAATAGTCCTGCAAATTCCTAAGCATTCATAATATATTTCACTGTATTTTTCTAGCATCTAAAAACAAGACATCTTCAGAAACTACTTACATTTCTTCATGCTGCTTAGCAAGCTGAATTTCTTGTGCCAAATAGGATGCCATACTTGATCATATTAATAATTCCAATTACTCTATGAAAAAAAAGGTAAAATATGGATCCTTCAGAAATATACACATGTGCATTTTATGACATTTATTAAGAAATAATCCTAAATATAAATGTTGAATTAGTAATGGGAACATTTTGCTGTAAAAAAGATGAAATCTTTTAACAATATTAACAGCATACAAGTACATCTTAATAATATTTAAGACAAAATATCAATAGTGCATTCAACTGTAAAGATTTCTTCTCCATTCTCACTTACTTTTATTTTGGTACTGGTTTATTTTCTTTCTTAATTCTGCACACATATTTTTTTAGCTTTGGACGGTCAGTTTTTAATTGTCCAATAAAATAAAAAAGCATCAGGCCACCTTTTTTATAGTAATTTTATTAAATATTGTAATTAAGAATTAATACAGCTAAGAAAAGATTGAGAAATAAAGATTACATGCAGAAAAGGAAAAAGGGAAGAGAAAGAAAATATAGTAAAGAAAAAGAAAAGTAATATATAAGTGTGACCTTCATCATAACAAGTACTAACATCTACCCTTATCTTTCCGATATCAGAAAAATGTTCAGATGTCTAAAGATTCAGATTCTTTTTGTTGTTGTTGTTAAATAACTCTTTGCTAATGTAAAAGTTTTTTTAAAGGTAGTTGGGTGGGATTTATCTATTCTGGAGAGCAAACTCTGTGCAGGTTATCTGTAGAACCTGAAAAAGCAACACATGCAGACAACCCTTGATTGAACAAACTCTATTTAATGGGCTTATGATGCAATGGAGCTAGATCAGAGAACATGGATGTCATCCTTGAAATAATAGGAAAGTCAGTTGTTTCTAAAATCTGCAAACAGTAATAATATCCCACACTTGTGTCAACCAACATCATTGCATAATTCTGCAATAGGTATTTTTATGTCATCTGCATTGATTTATCCCCAATAGCTTGTTAAGTGGAGGCTTTATAAAAACAGTATTTTACTATTTTTGGGTTTTATTTTTGGTGCATTAAAGGAGACATGACAACATCAATTGGCTGCATGCCTGGATTAAAGTTAATTTAATTTGCTATGGACATGAGTGTGCCCATCCAAATACCATGCATAGTGTCTCACAATGCCTCACTGCACTTAAGATAGGATGGTGTGGAAGGCATTCAACTCTGAAACACTGTAGTAGGAAGTTTTAAAACATACACAGGTTGAACAAAGCTTTTTACTGGATCCTATGGTCTGCATTCTAAACTAGGTATAGAACCTGCTTCAATGCTCATTCATTTTCATTTTGAATAGACATTTCCACAGTAACAATTTCTGAACAACCAATTCAGTTTCTCCTCAGGTCTCTTATATATTCGAGTTCACAGATTATGCTAGCTTAGTTTAATGCAGCTAACCATGTTGTATGAGCTTAGCTACTGTTCCTTGCAAACTAGTTTAGAGCCAATTTATGAACCCAACAAACTGTAGCCAGTTTAATCTACAGTTTAGCATGAAGTTGCCCTGATAAATAAGGACCCTCTATGGAAAGGCTACAAAGTCACTGCCTGAGATGGGTTGTGATGCTATACAAGTGGTCCTCGATTTACAACCTTTTGTTCAGTGACTGTTTGAGAAGTTACAAAGGCATTGAATTAAGTGACGTATGACCGTTTTTCACACTTACAACCACTGCAGCACCCCCATGGCCACATGATCAAAATTCAGAGGTTTGGAAACTGGCCTCTATGACAATTGCAGTGTCTCAGAGCCCTTGATCACCTTATGTGACCTTCTGAGAAATAAAGTTGATGGGGGAAGCCAGATTCACTTAACAACCGTATGACTGACTTAACTGCAGCAATTCACTTGAGTACTGAGGCAAGAAAAATCGTAAAATGGGGTAAAACTCACTTAGCAACTGTCTTGCTTTGCAACAAAATTTTGGATTCAGATGTGATCCCTACAAGTGTGTTTCATTGCCCTGTAATATCCAACCCGCTTTCTGCCAGATCCAGCAAGCTGGGTGAAGTCAGTCATTGTGGTGCATCAGATGCAACTGATAAACTATAGTTTACAGCTAATTTGGCAGTTCAAATCTCACCAGGCTCAAAGTTGACTCAACCTCCCATCCTTCTGAGGTAGGTAAAACGTGGACCCAGATTGTTGGGGGCTCTGTAAAACTGCTTAGAGAGGACTGTGAAGTGGTATGCAAGTAACTTTCCAGACTTATACTTTCAAGTCTAATGTGTAATTTACTCCACATTTTGCCATGCTCTGTAGTTGGATGTCACTAGACACTAAAGACAAGATTCATTAGGTTTACTACACATTTATGAAGTCCTTAAAATGTTGCAAGAAACAAATCCAAATAGGAAATGATGCTATGTATTTTTTCCTCATGTCTAATATGTTGTTTTACTTGCTGCTGGCACATCACATGTATCAAATGGATGTTTCGTTTGTTTCTATATCCTGCCAGCTACCGGCTGCCTGCAGTTCGAGTCTCCCCAGGATCAAGGTTGACTCAGCCTTTTATCCTTCGGAAGTGGATAAAATGAGGAGCCTAATTGCTGGGGGCCATATGCTGACCGCTTAGAGAGGGCTGTAAAGCACTGTGAAGTGGTATATAAGTCTAAGGGCTATTGCTATCTGCAGCTTGTTAGATTGTTCAACAAACTGCAACTTCAGGAGGACGCCTGATTCCAGTCACTTTTTTGGGACGCAGCTCGTTTGAAAGGCCATTAGGAAGAGCTGTTTAAAGGATGCTGCGAGCTTGCATCCCCTTCACATGTTTCTTGCCCGCACACAACACCCCAAATCTCTTGGCCAGGGGTCCCCAAACTTGGCAACTTTAAGACTGTGGACTGATGAACTCTGTTCATCATGATCTGGTGCTAAGGAAGGAAACGTCGCGGGTGGCTGGCAAGTTGAGCCAACTTGTTTAGTGTGTTCGGTTAGCCCAGCATTCCTTTGCACGAAACTTGGATCGCAGAATACAATTTCCCATTTGCCACCGAGCTCCCGAAAAAACAGCCACGCTGGCTGTTCACCCTACTTTTTTTTTAGTGTCTCGTCTCTCCCCTTCCTTCTCCTCCCCCCCCCGCGCCCCCCTCGAAACACCGCGAATAGAACGGTCGGATATCCGTTCGGGAGCTTCCAACTCCATAAACGGGAAGGGGGGATGGAAATATTTTTGAAAAGACGCGCGCGGGAGACGCCCCCCCCTCCCCCCCAGTGAGGAAATCGGGGATTCGTATCCAGCACCGCGGGAAATAGGACCGTACTATTCCGGGACTGATTGGGGAAGGGGGAATAATGGGGAGGGGAACTAGGAGCCAGATGTACATTTCTGCGAACTGCAAATGTAGGCGATGAAACTACCTTTATTATGACCCTGCCGCAGTTAGGGGCGGCTTTTCAATCTCAACGTCCTCCTCATTACCGCCATTAAACAAACGCAACGCTTTTCACTCCAGGCAACTTGTTATCGCGGTACCATAAAGAGGGATTGGGGGCGGGGGATATGAGAGAGAGAGAGAGGGAGGGAGACGAGCGGCAGAAACCGAAGCATAGTCGATTTCTGATTGGCCTACGGTCGGGGGGGAGGAGTTACAAAAACGGAGGAATCGGTTTCGTAACGGAACGACGTGAGGAGGCGGGGCTTCTCGTTTGATATTTTGAAAAGGAGACCGTTGGGCGCTAAGTAACGGAATGCATAGGGAGCACCTCGGGTTGCGGGCCGGTCGAAAAGGGATGTTTTTGTGTGGGAAGAGAAACACAAGAGTTGGAGTACAGCAGGAAAGAACTTAGTTCCTGAATTTAAGAAATATACCTTGGTGATGTGTTTTTTCCCCGGTCTCCCTCGCCGTTCGTGAACGAACCATAAGTACTTCAGGCGAAGGGAAGGCTTTTTATTAAAGGGGGGGGCGGTCAATGCTCCACCCCCCCATGTACCCCTATGGCATAGTAATAGTGCTTAGACTTATATAGCTTCACAGTGCTTTACAGCCCTCTAAGAGGTTTACAGCAGTGGTGGGTTTCAAATTTTTTTGGAACCTACTCTGTGGGTGTGGCCTCCTTTGACCTTTGTGGGAGTGGCTTGCCGGACATGTGACCTGTTGGGAGTGGCTTGCCGGGCATGTGTTTTCTTTCTTTCTTTCTTTCTTTCTTTCTCTCTCTCTCTCTCTCTCTCTCTCTCTCTCTCTC